TGCTGATGAAGTAAATTTATTAGTTTTATGATGGAGTTTAAGTTAGCTATGCAAGAGCTGTAGCAAGCATTCCACTCGCTGCAATAAATAAAAAGCAGGTTAATCCATGCTGGTAGTTTCATCCAAAATAAGAGCAATGTAGCTGAAGTATTTCGTTTTTCAATAAGTAAATTGATCGTTTTTATTTTCTTTCAAAAAGCCAGTTATTTAGTGTTTGCACCCTGAAGTTAGTTAATCACAGTTGAGAGGAAGAAAAGACAAAACTGAAAATGTTTAGTTTGTTGAATACTTTTCTGCAGAAATAATTTTGATTGTGGAAACTTCCTTTTAAAAATTGTGAACGTAGTGAAAAAGATTTGGGAAGTGGAACTGTGAAAGAACGGAAGATGGAGAGGTTTGGAAATAAAGCACAGGTCAGTATTACCTGAACTGGTCTGAAGATTATAAATCATATAAATTAAGTACTGTTGGAAATGTGGAGATGGCAAGAACTGCAGATGCTGGAAGTCAGAGTCGATACAGTGTGGAGCTGGAGGAACACAGCAGGTCAGGCAACATCAGAAGAGCAGGAAAGTCGACATTTCGGGTCGGAACCCTTCATCAGTTCTGATCCACTGTATCGACTACTGTTAGAAATGTGTTTTTTGATAGCCTGTAGGTAAGGTTTGCATTTTTCCATCAGTACGTTTTATTGCCTAATTAAAGTTGTGTAACGGATCTAATTGCAGTTATGTTTCAACAGAAGCAAAACAGTTATAACTATTGCAAAACTTCCCTGTGAGACTGCATTAGAAAAATACCTTGTATGATGGTATGTGCCAGAACATGCCAAATAGCAGTTCAGTAGTTAAAACAACACTTGTATTAGAAACATAGCTGATGTTTAGTATAATTGTGCCAATGAATATAATTATCTCATTTCATGTCCCACCCTAGGCAATAAGTTTAACCCCTTCTAACCTGAAGCTGATTCCTGATAAGATATGATTTCATATGAACAGGCAAATCTGGTTTCCCTTAACACTAATCTTATGTGAGGCTAGTCAGCAGTTCATCACCATCTCCCTAATTTGTTGCTAAGCCTACTTCTGCATGGTTTCAGCACTCTTGAATGATACCTTCCACTGGAAGACCCTTCATTAGTGTCCAGGAGCAGGAACCCAGCTGGATTATTTCTTTCCTTACCCAAGCTAACTGTAATACTATACTTTCTGTACCTTGAATGAACACTGGGAAACTTGACACAAACAGGAATGTGGTTTATATTTCTGTTTGATATTGTTCAGCATAATGTATTTAACTTTTTGAGACATCGTATAAGTCTTACTGCTGATGGCTTTATGGTCAATTGCAAACCAAACAAGTAATTTATTCATATTTTTTATTTTACTCTGCAAAAGTTTTGCAATTTGAAGGAATGCTTTAGTTGGACATGTGAACAGCAAATTTTAACATGGCTTCTGATATGTTGACATATGATATAACATAGTCTTTATTGGCAAAGTGTGGCTCTGTTCAGCTGTTATGTTTTAGGTGTCATTTGGGTACCTAGCCCAGTATATAGTATTCTTTAATTAGTACAAAGACAGTTTACTTTGAAAGGTCAGCATGCTATCAAATTCAAGGCTTCCAACCATTTTTTTCCACTCTCTACTGCCATTCATTCTCTGCTTGCAGTTCCCAGAATAGACCATGCTTGAAGTAGTAGCCACATGGGAGAAGATTAGATATTTAAATGCTGATGTGTTATTGAGTACTGTTTACGTGATGTCAGTTTTGAATAACAGGGTTTTCTAAAAAAATTGCAGATTGAAACTTGTTTCAGAATATTTAAAACTGTGATTTCAAGATCAAAAGGGGAGATTTAATGAATTGACTGTAAACCATTAGAAACTAATTTGTCTCGCTCTCGCTCTAACATGCTCCTCCTCCCACCCCCCCCAAAATCATCGCGGCACCATAGTCTCAGAGGGCCATTGGACGTGAAAACTTGAAAACACTCTTTTGACTTTGTTCACTGTTCACTGTGATTTGAAGGATTGTGAAATTAAGTTAATTTTGATTAGTTAAGGAGATAAACAGTTGCTTGTTTTGTTCTCCTGGGTGTCAGATGTCTTGTTTTTCCCTTTGCTACAGTCACTACACACTTTCAGGAAATTGTTACGCAAAAGGTTTTTACAACTTAAAATATTCAAGGTAAAATCTAAGGAACTGTAGGCACTATTGGGTCCTTTGCTGCAGCAAATTTTGGCTGATTGATTTTGTCCTTTTTTAATTAATTTTGGTGTGCCATGTGTGTAAATGCAAATTGTTGCCTTTCTTTTTGGTTCATGACAACATTGCATGTGCGACATGCCAACTTAAAATATTTGCAGTTGTTGTGTATTGATATGGAGCCCCTAAGCTGATCGATCAATCATGGTATTATTTCTTCCTCCTTGTGGTCACCAGAGAATATAAGTGTCATTGTGACAATCTGATACTCCTCGCTAATAGAAATAACTTCTTCCTCCTCCATCTTGAGTGCAGTGGTTTTAAACTGTTGATATGAGCCAGTTAACCAAACTTCTTGTGTCATAAATGTTATATTGTCACTCATTAAATCCAATGAAGCACACAGGACAAACCAGAGATTGGACAGAATGTGGAAACTCACTTCTGCATGGAGTAATCAAAAAGCATAAGATGCCTGAATTTCCTTGAAACTAAACTGTTATGACCTCTTAACCTATGAATCAATGCTGATGTATTTTAATTTCCCTAAAATTTTTTTCCCCTCAAACTTTAATCAAATGTTCCAAATGTTTGTTTGTTTTTCAGATTTTGAATGACCAATTAAATATTTGTACTCACCATAAGATACAAAAGCCCGTTGAGTCTGCACCACCATTTGATTATGGCTGACAAATTTCTCAACTGCATTCTCCGGCCTTCTCCCTGTAACCCTTGATCCCCTCGCTAATTAAGAACCTATTTATTGCTTTCTTAAAGATGCTTAATGACGTGGCCTCTAAAGCCTTTTGTGGCATTGAGTTCCATTGATTAACCACCCTTTGGCTAAAGAAATTCCTCTTCGTCCCAAATCAAAATGTTCATCCCTTCACTCTGAGGTTGTGTCATCCAGTCCTAGTCTCTCCTAGTGGGAACATCATGTGCCCATCCAGTTTATCCAAGCCCCTCTGTATTTTCTAAGTTGCAATAAGATCCCCTTTATCCTTCAAAATTCCTTTGAGCACAGGCCCAGATTCCTCAACTACTCCTCATTGGACAAGCCCTTCATTCCTGTGATCTGGACCCCCTCCAATGTCAGCACATCCTTGCTTAGATATAGGTTGCAAAACTGCTGTCAATATTCCACAAATGCAGTCTGACCAGACTCTTCATACAGCCTCAGCAGTACACCCCTGCTCTTGTATTCTAGCCCTCTCAAAATGAATGCTAACATTGCATTTGCCTTAACTGCCAACTGTACTTGCATCTTAACCTCGAGAATCCCGAAGTAGGGCTCCCAACATCCCTCTGTGCTTCAGATTTCTGAAAGCTTACCCCGTTTTGAAAATAGACTGCGCTTTTATTTTTCCTACCAAATTGCATAACCTCACACTTTTTCCCACATGTGCAGCCTGCCTGCTGTCTCAACGCTACCTGTCCCTCCACTTATGTTTGTGTCATTTGCAAGCTTAGCAATCATGCCTTCAGTTCCTTCATCCAGATTGTTAATGTGTAACATGATTAGTTGTGGTCCCAACACTGACTCCTGTGGAACGCCACTAGTCACTGGCTGACATCTTGAAAAAGATCCCTGTATCCCCACTGTCTGCCTTCTGCCAGTCAGCCAATCCACTACCCATGCCAGTATCTTGATTCGAACACCAAACGCATCTTATTTAGCAGTGTGTGTGTCACCTCGTTAAAGGCTTCTGGAAATCCAAATAGATCATATTCACTGGCTGTACTTTGTCTAAATTGCTCATCACCTGCTTAAAGAATTCTAATTGATTTGTCAGACATGACCTCCCCTTGACAAAGCCATGCAGTCTCAACCCTGTTTCACCATGCATTTTGAAGTACTTCACAATCTCATCCTTCATAGTGGATTCTCAAATTTTACCAATGATCACACTCCAATCAATTTCATCATGTAGCCGCCAATATACATTACAAGCCAACTGACTCCCACAGTTACCTTGACTATCCATCTTCTCACCCTGCTTCCTGTAAAGACTGTATTTCATTCTCCCAGTTTCACCATTTCTGTTGCATTTGTTCTGATGATGCCATCTTTTGATAAGGGGGCCTCCGAAATGTCCACTTTCTTTCTCAATCGAGGATTCGCCAGCACCATGGTTGACAGGACCCTCAGCCGGCTCTAACCCATCCTCCGACCTTAGCCTTCACCCCTCTCTTTCCTCCCACAACAGCAATAGGGGGCCCCCTTGCCCTTACCTACCATCCCACCAGCGTCCACATTCAAAGGATCATTAGCCACCCTTTCTGGCACCTCCAGCACGATGCCACTACCAGACACACATTCTACTACCTTGTCAGCCTTCTGCACTGCGCGTAATGTGGTCTCGTTTACATCGGTGAAACAAAGTGTAGACTGGGTGATGGGTTTGCAGAATGCCATTTCAAATTACTGACAACAGAGTCTTTTCTCTTGAAATGAATATTGGAGTGGGTATAGGAGATTAGGATTAGATTAATAAGTACTCTCATTTATGTATTGAGAAAGTAAGAGATGGGACAATTTTGTTTTCCCCAACAAAAAAGTAATTAAGATATCATAAGCATTGATTTCATCAATATTCTCTTCTGACAATCAGAGTAGGAAAAAGTTAAGAGTAGGGTTTGAGTAGACATTTGCATATGTGAAACTAACATGATGGATGTAAATGCTATTTTTTTTGCTGTTAATCTTAAAAGTTTCAGCAAATCTCTGTATCTACAAGAAAGTCAGCCCCACATTGCCCACATGCTGGAATTAAAAATTGTAATGTTGATGTGGGCACAAGTTTGTATGGCATATAAGAATGAAAACCTGTTGATCCCAGTTAGTAGGGAGCAATGACATTAAACTGATTTCCTCATTTGAGTTTTTACATCTTTCTTTCTTCATCTTGGAGCTAAAACTCTTATTTTAATAGATAATAGTTTGTTCCAGATTAGATAAAATGTAAATGGTATTACCTTTCTTTATTTGAACTCTGCCTGCAACACGGTTGTTCTGTGTTTAGGTTCTTTTATGAGGGCATATTTGATTCATTTTAAATTATATTGAAGATGATAGGAAATCACAATACCCTTGTTCCTAAGTCGAATACTTTTTTTGTTGCTCTAGGTTCTGTTGGTTAGCAGCAGTCGGTATCCAGACAGATGGATTGTTCCAGGAGGTGGCATGGAGCCTGATGAAGAACCAAGTGTGGCAGCTGTCCGAGAAGTCTGTGAAGAAGTATGTACAAAGCAATTATTTGTTGTGTTCCTAAACTTATTTCTCAGCTAATTCTTGAACATATTGAATTGTTAATCAGACTTCTGTTAGAGTTATTTAATTTATACCAGTTAGCTGACTGTTCTAGAGCTGCTTATTTGAAATGGCTTCTATTCAAATTTGGCTGAAGTGTAGCAATTTTTCTAGTTATTTCTAGATGTATCTGCTGATAGAAACGTTTATTCCTTAATTACAGCTGTATTTTGCTTACTGCTAAATTAATTCCAAGTTCCTGATCTGAAGAATTGCAAGAATAGCTATCCTTTAGGTTGACTTTAGCATGTAGTATTCCCATTTTCGTATGTCAAGGGCAGTCATGATGGTTAATTTCCCTTTATTAAAGCCTCAACTGTTCCTGTAATGTGTTTTGTACTTTAAGAGCTTATCATGTTTTATTTTCTAATTTTGTGTTCATCACAATGTTGTTTCTGTTTTTAAGCAGATGCTGCAAGTAATGGCAGTCGAATTTAACTCAAAGCTGCAATAGTCAATTGGAAAAACATTGTACTGTCCTGTGCACTGGGTTTTTAAATAAAATATGTTGCTATGCACTACATTAACTTAATTGTCTACTGAGATCAACTGAATTAGACGGTGCACAAACCTACTGGGTATACTGTTTTCGGGCAAGGAGTTAAAATTTCTCTCCCAGATCATCATCCACAGTTTTCATGTTTGATATTGAAAATGATAGTGAATCGTTGCAGCAAGGTTTCTTTCAAGTTGGTTCAAGCAGAATTGGTCCTAAATGCTTTCCAAAATACTAGCATCTAGTTCGGTGTAGACATTGTCACAAATTTCTATAGGACTTCCACTCCATGTGTTTTAGTCTGTCTGGTGCAGACAATCTTTTATGCTTCCGCTTACTGAAGGTGATATTGGATTACATGGGTACAAATATCTAAAGTAACTCTTTTTGTGTCAATACACATGTAACTCACTGAAAGACGCTCTGGTGAAATGAAGAGATAACAAGGTGTAGAGCTGGATGAACACAGCAGGCCAAGCAGCATCAGAGGAGCAGGAAGGCTGACGTTTCGGGCCTAGACCCTTCTTCAGAAATGGGGGAGGGGAAGGGGGTTCTGAAATAAATAGGGAGAGAGGGGGAGGCGGATAGAAGATGGATAGAGGAGAAGATAGGTGGAGAGGAGACAGACAGGTCAAAGAGGCGGGGATGTAGGGAGGAGATAGGTCAGTTCAGGGAGGACGGACAGGTCAAGGGGGTGGGATGAGGTGAGTAGGTAGGAGATGGGGGTGCGGCTTGAGGTGGGAGGAGGGGATAGGTGGGAGGAAGAACAGGTTAGGGAGGCGGGGACGAGCTGGGCTGGTTTTGGGATGCGGTAGGGGGAGGGGAGATTTTGAAGCTTGTGAAGTCCACATTGATACCATTGGGCTGCAGGGTTCCCAAGCGGAATATGAGTTGCTGTTCCTGCAACCTTCGGGTAGCATCGTTGTGGCACTGCAGGAGGCCCAGGATGGACATGTCGTCTGCGGAATGAAAGGGGGAGTTGAAATGGTTCGCGAT